TAATAATAATAATAAATAAATAAAATAAATAACAATGAATAAAATAAAACACCAATACATAATTACTAATAAATATATAAATAAATATATTTATCATTATAATATTATCTTCAGCAATAATCAATTTAAAAAATAATTTTATTATAAATTAAAATATATTAAAAAGATTAAATAAAATGAGGGTAGTTGGACCAGTGTTAATGCACCTACGTTACATTGACTCCTTCCCACAAACTATCCACACCATAGTGTGGCCCGTCCATGAGAAAAATCATGGATGATAAATTGGGGTGTGGCCCATCCCTACCCACATTATTTTGTAGACGGGACCAAAATGGTCCCATCCATGATATTTTCACACTACCGAACACCCTCATAATTGTGTGTTTACAGCCAGAACCGGAATAATCTATTCTCATAGTATGTTTGGTTCAGACAAGAGTCAGAATTAAAATTGAAATTAATTGAAATAGGACTTCATTCCCAAAAGAAGGGGAGAGAAATCAAAATGGTGCATCCCAATTCCGATTCCAGACCCCTATTCCCATGAACCAAACGTGCCTTACAGCTTAATTCATCTACATAGATGGATAATTGCAAAGTAAAGGACAAACCCACCTCAAAATTCATGAAAAACAACACTAAAAACCATAACCCACCACCTCAAAGCACCAAATAAACAAATGTGGCTGTGGTTTCTGGAGCCCCTTTTCACAGCCCTGGCATAAGATGTGCAAAAGCCGGCCAGCAGATGTTTCTCCTCTAACGGGTTGTTCGTGTCCTAGAGTTTCAGTGGTGCTTGAAAAGCTGAACCCAACCAACCTAAATTGTCATCTTGCTTTTGGCTTCCATTGACAGTAAAGGTGATAGGATGAACTCTTTTGTATGTTTGTGTGTGGTTGGAAGTTTGCTCTCTTGTTTTCTTTTTCATTTTTCACTGGGAGTCAGTCATCAGTCATGAGTCATGACTCCTGACTTGTGAGAGAGTCAGCCATAATATTTTCTTATTATTAGGGGTTTAGACGTTAGACCATTCTTTGTTTGGGTTAGAGTTTGTCTAAAAGAATCAATCCTCCCTCGCTGAACAAAAACCTAAGAAGTTAATCCCCTTCTTTTTGTCCTTACCCCTTAACCATTTAAATCTTCAACGAGACATGAGCATATTGACATGTTTTTGGAAAATTGTGCAACTAATCAGCATTGAAAAGGCAATCAGCATCGAAAAGGTAGTGCCTTGTATTGCTGTCGTCCTTCACTCACACACTTCAAAATCCTTCTTTTTCTCTCTCTCTCTCTAAATTTTCGAAATTACAGCATTTTGGACCCATCTGTTTGTGATGATGCTTTCAAAATTTCAAAAAATTGGGAAGACTTTCTACCTAATAAAATTATTTATTAATTTCCATCAATTTTTTATAGTAATGTATTTACATTTAATTATTATTTTTACCTTATCTTAATGATATTCCAAAATATTAATTTAATATATATTAGCCCAAAACATTTCATGAAATTGAAATTCAGCAAAATCTCACCAACATACAAGACCTCTCTCTCTCTGCTTAACCTTAATCCATGGAGTTTAGACTGTATTAGAAGTTTACAGGGGAACCGTGGATCATCTTGATTCGGTAGTTAGAGACCCTTCAATTAAGACAGGGCCAAATAATGTAGGACCCATGATGTAATGGTCATGTAGGTTGGATTATTGTGGACTCACCAACTCATGGACTTAAATTTTTGTTGATTTAAGGAATCAGAATCTACATTGCTCATGCTAAATGCTAGGCCTATGGATTGGAATTTATAAATTAGAACTACAGAACTGTGGTGGCTCGTGAGATAACAGTGCCACACAGTGCCCGGTTTTCCCTTGATTAAGCTTTTATTGATATTAGAAGGTAAGAGAAAATAAAAAGGAGCTTGGGGAAGGGGGACATGATAATATGGTCTCTTTGTTGTAGTACTACGGAGCATCACTGTACACGAGAGTTCACGAGAATCTTATATACTGTGCCTGTGTCTCAGATTTGTGAGTTCAAATCAGAGGCTCACAAGATTGCCCCCCACAATGTCCAACAGCACATTCCCGCTGTGTATTAGGAATATCTTCCGATGATGATACCGTTATTTCTGGTATTATTATTGGGAGATCAGAGATATTCCCAATATACGATAGGGATGTGCTATGGGGGGCAATCTCGTGGGAGGCTGATTTGATCTCTAGATTTGTTAGTAGTTTTTATGTATGGTCCGTCACACCACTCTGTTCCTGTTATGTGCCTCTAGCTCCCATCAGCCCAAAAACCATTCGACCAAGAAGATGGACCATCGTGGGCTGTCAATGAATTGGGTCTATTCAATAGAATCGAATCGACTGAACCGATTATATAGAGGTTTTTAGTAATTTTCTTATATTTTATGTTTGAAAGAATAAATTTCATAGACGCGCGGCATATAAGATAATCTTACTTAGAAGCACTTGAATTATATTATTATTTTTTGTTAAGGTTATATTATCAAAAATGAAATTCTAAGTTGTTACTATCATAGCTAATTATAATTATAGATGTCAAGTGTAACCGGATCTAATCAGGTTAGACCCGATTTTCGTGCTTAGTAATTGTTTTGGTTCTGGGTGTCCAGAGCCGACCCATTGACAACTTTAATGGGCTTCCAGGATAAAAGTTAGAAATTTAGAATAGTTCGGCTTGAGGGTCTGTTGTGCTATTTCAGAAATTTGAAGGGTAGGCCCTACAACCCAGGAAAAGAAAAGTGAAGGGGAGGAGGTTTCGACTTTCAAGCTTCTACTTTGAAAGGGAGGGAATTGACCAGACACTGCATTGTTAATTGTTCTGAGAATTAAGAGAGAGATCTCACTTTTGCTCAATGCCACTGTATTCTATGTTCCATAAGTTCAGATGGTTTTATCACTTTCAGACAAATCCAAGAAGAGGGTCAGCACTCAGCAGAGAAGAATGGGAGCCGCACTGCATCACATGGCCTAGTCTTTATCAGAAAGGACCCAAATTAGAACACCACATAACATTAGCAGTACTAAGGCATCCACTAAACCATCTGCCTTTGGCAACCCAAGAACCCATTTGCCTTGGTTCCTGGTGCGAAGGGAATATTTCCCATTAATAGTCTTAGCCTCTTAAGTAGAAGGAAATAATTGAGGGGAGGACTGTAAAAGAAGATGATGGCCATTGTTTTGTTTGCTAGTCATTTCAATTATTTTGTATGTAGAATTATGCATGGTATGTGGATTAAATGGGATAAGATGGAGTACTGTTACCTTGTTTTCAACCCTCAAGGCCAGAGGCATTTCATATTGGGACATGATCCGATGCTCAGTATAATGCAAGGGGTTCTCATTGTCTACGAACTTGATAATTGATGACTGAGGTGGCCACCCACCCAATAGAGTTCCACTTGTTCATCTCATCACCTATTTTCCACTGTTTGCCACTTGGCAAATAAAATTTCAGTAATTATCATTTCCTTAGGTTATGTTTGGAAACGATATAAATAAAGTGTAAATCCTGATTCAGGGTAAATTTGTACTTTAGTTCACTTTTGTCTGTGTTTGGCAATATTATATTTATGTATTGACAAATGGTAGAGTAATACATATTTACATTGATAATAAGATGTAAAAGTACATCAATAAATTTGTATTCAAGTGCACTTTTGATAAAAAAAGACATATATTTTATTGGAATTTATATAAGAAAGTAAATTTGTCAATGCAAAATTAACCCAACTTTACAATTTATAGACCATTTTACACTCTATATATTTGCATAGCTTCCAAACAGAGTCATACCTTTTTTCACCCCTAAATCGGCCTCACCATTTCAACCCAGCCCCAAAACAAACAAGAAAAGCATAGTTTGAATTATAAATGAATGGTAGGGCCCCACCTTATTGTAAATGAATGGTTTGAATTTGACATAGTAATTCATTCCCAAAACAACTGACTGAACAAAGAGGTTGGTTTGGTGATGGAATTTGGAACAAATATGTACAGAATACTGTCTTGATATAGAAACAAAATCATTATATTCTGATGCTTCCTTTTTTTTTCTTTTTTCTGGTGTGAGGAAAAATAAAATCTCTTGTCCCCCATGAACATGGCCTACCTGTCTGATGGATTCTAGCTCAAAATCACATCAAAAGGTTGAATCCAAAGCCCCAAACATTTAACAAATGTCTTGTCTTTTAGAATGCTATATGCCCTATGGCCTCTCAATCAATTGCTTGAATGAAAGGGTATCTACAGTAGTATTTCTTCTTTCTCTATTTATTTGTTTATTAAGAATCTAAATACACAAAATAATAGACTATTGCCCTTTGATAAGATTTTTTTAAAGATCTTCCTGACAACCCAGATGACCAAAAGATGAATTAAGCTTTTGGGATTTTATCTTTAAAGATAAGATATAGACCATTGGTAAATATCGTGGTCTATGCTAGTCTATTAAATGAAAGATTTTAAGTGCGAAACGAGGGAGATTTTCAGCCGTTTTGGGATTTCATGAACTTACTGACCTCCAAGTCCCATCTTTTCTTGCCAAACAAAAGAAACCGTTTTTTGACTAATGGTTTTTGAAAAATCGAAAGATCTTTCAAAAAAATTTGCCAAACAGGCCCTAAATAAGCCTAGACTAACCTCAATTTTGATGGGGTGGCAGATTTTCTACATGGGTCCTACAAATTGGTGGCAATTGAGTTTTTTCTTTTTGGTAGGAGGTACATTTGAGTTGACTGTGATGCAAGAGTTGCATGGCTGAGAGCATGCTTACCGGAAGTATCATAGGGTGCAAATTCATCATGTCTCATCCTTGAGATATCAATCTCTACTTCTTTCTTAGTTTTTGAATTTAAAATTTATCACAGTGGTTCATTCCAGTACCTGGTCCCCTACTACCTTATTATTATGGTGGATGATATATACTGGATAGCCAAACAGAGCAAACCATAACTAGAACAATGGTTTCTGTTTTGATGGCCTGCCCATTTGATCTTTCTGCTATTTTTAATAAAAATTTACGTTTAATGTTTAAACATCCTCTCTTTTAATCCCCATCGTCTCGTAGTCAGATTTCAGCAGTAAAAACTGAAAAGAGACGAAAATAGAAAAAAGGTATCAGACTTTTTAAAATCTCAAAGGAGAGCTCCTACAGTCGAGTTCAATCTCCCGCGCGCTCCTTTCCTGCATATATTTTCATTCGAAGAAGACTAGCCTTCTACTCTCTCAAACAAACTGTCTGTCTCTCCGATGGAGGCTCGACTCAAGATGCGRATTTCTCGCATGTTTCGTTCTTCATTTGGATCTTGTAAGCCTCGAAACATATCGGATGTTATCGAAAGGCCGATTTTCGTAGCTCAAAACAGCCGAGACTTTCATCTGCTTGAGCCTTCGTCTCCTAAGGTTCAAATTTTTCCATCTATGTGTAGACCCAGATGGTCGGAAACAATGGAGGTGGCGTGGAACGAGAGTGTCGCAGTCTCTCCAAAGGAGGTGTTACAGAGGTCGAAGGTATCGGAACATGGCCCATGTTTCGTGTCGGGTGATATGGGAGGAAGAACATGTCCTCCTGCGTCACCCACTTTGCCTCTGAATTCGTTCTACAGTTTTGAGGAATTTCAACCAAAGGCGAGAAAGAAAAGATCGAAGAAGACTAGGAAGACCCACGGGAAGTACAAGAAGAAAGAGAGTTTCTACCATCTCAGCTCCTCGTCTGCAGAAACTAATGGTGGTGGGTGGTTCAGCAGTGAAGACGAACTAGACGACGAGACAGAGACGTTTTTCTCCTCGAGGAGCTTCTCTTCTGATTCCTCRGAGTCTCGTCACCTAAACAAGAAGAGTTCTCGCCGGAGATCAGAAGCCAGAGCTGAACGGAGAAGAGCAGTGAGCAAGAATTCCGATATGGGATACTGTACGTTTTCCACTAGGGGGAAAGTGCAGGAAAGTTTCGCAGTAGTGAAGCGCTCCAGCGATCCTTACAGTGATTTCAGGACATCAATGGTGGAGATGATCATCGAAAAGCAGATATTTGCAGCCAAGGATCTCGAGCAGCTTCTGTAGTGCTTTCTGTCATTGAACTCCATTCATCATCACAAAGTGATCGTCGAGGTCTTCTCAGATATATGGGAAGCTCTGTTCTCTAACTTATCTTGAAGAAATATGCTATTTCGTCTTGTTATATTTAGATATCTGAGAAAGTAGCTAGCTTTTCTCGTTTCTGCTGTTAACTCTTGAAACTCTAACTGTTATTGACTATGTTAATGGTACTCTTTCTGGTTTTTCGTCTCAAACCTTTGATGGGTTCTTTTTCTTACTTCATTTTCATTGTTTGTTTCTTTGCTTTCTGTTCCTCCTTCGATCTGATGGGGATCAGTTAAAAAAAAAAAGACAAAGCAGACGAGGAGCTAGCTGTTTTGCTTCTAAAGACTGAAATGATATTTTGTTGCAGTTTTGATAGAAATAGTTGAGAGAAGAATCGACAACAGTTATTTTTGGATCCTTTTGTTTGAGAATTGAGAAGGGCTTTCCATGGATGGATGTACCATCGGAAAAGAAGTACAGAAGCGACGAATTGATCCAGAGAAAGTGTTTCTAGCTGCTTCAGTTGCTTGTGTGATTGGATTCTGATTACCTTTACAGTTTACACAATAACTCCACACTCCACACAAAAGAGATGGAAAACAATGACAGCCACAGTGTTAATTCTCCTTTTCTCTCATCAAGATGCTCTTTTTTTTTTTTGTTTCAAGCTCAGATCCTTTTTTAATGGTGTTAGTAATTAGTTGCGTTCTAATTAAGTTTTTGTTTATTTCTGGTCGGTAGTCCTCTCTGTTGTTGTCTTGTCTTTCATCAAAAGCTCTGATACTTGTGACTCATCAATTACTCAATTCCTCTAAATCTAACCTCATGTAGTGGAACTTGGTGGCCCTTTATCCAAAACTGGTACAACCCAAGCATCAATCACATCAAATCTGTAGTTTGATTCCTGATGCTGCTGCTGCTTCGGATGCTACACCTACCCATAAACTCAGAGAAACAAAGGATCAAAAGGGGTTCATGATTCACAGATGATTTGAATTGGATCAAGCATTTTGTGTGGTCTGTATCTCTTTGCCGACAAAAAAGCTTATGACTTAGAAATTTGTGAAAAAATTGAGTGTAAAAGACAAAAGAAACACAGCTAGTAATCAGAATTGGAAGTTCTGTAAATGTATTGTCTAATCTAAACGTGGTAATATAATGGGTATTACCGTATTAATAAATTAAGAGCCGTTTTGTTTCATTTACACGAGAAGAGAGGCAGAAGGAAGTAGGAACCAACCGCAGCCGCTACCTAGATAGACAATCCACAGCAGAGTGCAGACTTCATTGGCTTTTGCCTTTTAGCGTCGCCCAGGAGCTAAGCTACGTTTAATTATGGCGCAATAACAACAATGCACTGATCAGTGTTCTCTCTCTATCTAGATTGTTTGAAGTAAAAGAAGAAAAAAAGCTTTATTGGTGATAGACTTGGTGTAGCTAAGGCCCCTATCTCTACCTAATGTAGAAGAAATGGAAAAGCCAATTGAATGAGAAAGCATGGGACAAGCTTTTACTATCCTGTCTCTTTTCTGATAGCTATGTTTCACTGTCTCAGAGAGAGAGAGAGCGCGACGTTACTAAAAAAGAATGCCATCTGGGTTCCAGCCTGATACTGCAAAGGAGGAATGTTTTCTTAACGAGGGCAGTGATGTTTGTTGGGTAGGTAAGAGATGGTTGTTTTGTTCATGAGGATAACCTTCTTCTCATTAATGCCCCATTTCAAACCAAGCTCTGCTACTCTGCTCAAGTGTTCAACCATTTGTCCCTCCGGATCTCCTACACTTGACGCCTGCGTATACTAATGAATCTGTGTCTTTCCATAAATGGAGATCATATTTGCGCCCCACATGCACATCTCAGCATGTATTGAGATGTTCTCAATACACGGTTGGGATGTACTGTGAGGGCGTTAGTAGAGCACAGATGTGAATTCCCATAAATGATAATTTGCAAATACCGAAGATCTTCTCAATGTGCGGCTGTTGTAATAATGTGTGGGTAGGAGATCTGAACTCTATACTAATCATAAAAACACGGTTGAATCATCGATTTGAGTTCACATCTCCACCCTACAAAGCCCCACACCACATCCCCATCGTATATTGGGAACATCTCCTGATGATAGTATCAGAACCGATAATATTATCATCAGAAGATGCTCTCAATACACGGTGGGGGATGTGCTGTGGGGCTGGGATGTGAACTCCATGGATTTAGTGAGCCAAAGACTCAAATACACCCAGATGTGATCCTTCTGCTGCTGCTGACGTTTATTCTAAAAATTTATGATTTGTTTATCTATAAAAAAAAATCATAAAACAGTAGGTTTTGGATTGGATCAAGTGGCCCAATACATCAACCCAACCCCATAAGTAGACCTGGCAAAAAGTTGATCAACCCGCGAACCTGATCCAACCCAACCCGAAAAAATAGGGTTAGGGTCTCATATTTAGCAATCCAAATGTGAAAATGACCCAACCTGACCCATCTCGAAAAAAACTGGGTTGGGTTTGGTCATGGGTCAACCCGCTGACCCGATTGTTAAGTCTAATTTGGATTATTTATGCATTGTTAGAAATTTCCACTCTTCAATTTTTTCTATCTAGTCTTTACTTTTTATTGTTTATTCTTTAAATTGTTAAATGTTCAAGTTTTTATTTTATATTTGGAAATTTAAGGTTAATTCTTTTAATTTTGACATTTTTCATATAATTTTTCTTTATTTTTTTAAATTTCAATTATTTTTTGGGATGACCCGAGTTGACCCATGGGTCAACCCTAACCCGAACATTTAGGGTTAGGGTCTAGCATTTGACAACCCAAACCAAAATGAACCCGAAATACCTCAACCCAACCCGAAATACATTTATTTTGTATAAAGAAATTCCTTTTCTGGGCTGAATGGGTTCCACTTGGTCCAACCCAAGTCGCAACTCTGGTTCCATGTTTTAAGGGAGTTTGAATTGGCTGAAAACAAAATCATACAGTGGACTGGGCAATATGTCACGAGTGAATACGCCAAATCGCCAATGCTCTGTAGGCTGTGTTTGGTTGCAACACGAATTTATTTATATTGATACAAAATAATGATAGTGTAAATAATTTTGGTGCAAATTATAATTTATTTTTGTTTCAAAATTTACTTTATTTTGTTTGATTGCATCACAAATGAAGTAAAATAAGACCTAAAGCAGAATAATGTAAAATCAAAAACAAAATTAAACTAAAATTTTTATTCTTTTTATTTGCACTCCCATGCATATGCATATGTATTAATGCAAATAAAATTGTATAGCAACCAAACACAGCCCTATATACAAAGTGTGGGTTGATGTGAAGGGAAACGGGGAGCTTTATAAAAGTCCAACTGGAATCCAGTCAATACTAACTGTCCCTCTAAATCTCATCCGCCTAAAAGAAAGGTGTGAGAGAGCACTGGGCCAATGCCAATCATGAGGCCCCATGTCAGCCTGACATATGTAGCCCATGCGTACAAAGCTTACGTGGTATATCATAATTGGTGCAGTATAGAAATAAGGACAAAGTCATAGCCACGTCCATGCAAACATAATTCATAGAGGTAAAAACATTTCACCTAGTTATGAATATCACTGATCTGTCACTTAGGCTGTATTTGGTTTTAAGGAAAAGATAGGGAAGTCAAACATAGCCTTTTCCTTCAAACCAAACACAGCCTTAGAGTTTGTGGAATGCTAATGCTAGTATATCAATGGATGGGGATTGGCATCCAAACCCAACTCAAACAGATTAAGGTTGATGAAAACCCATCCAGTAGGATCAGGTAGGGCTGCCAGCGGGTTGGATATTTGGATAGAACTGGAACTGACCCAACAAGACATATTAAGGAACCATAATCGAACCAGACCCTATAGGGACTGTAATTTTAGATTCAAAATTGAATCAATTGGTTCTTGAGACAACCGGGTCTGACCCGATGGACCTGATTGTAATAACCTGTTGAAAATATTATACATTTAATGGTTTGGGTAGGCTCTGAGTTGGTTTGGGACCGGATAGAACCATTTCTGAACCAACAATAATCGGAATGATATATCAGGAACTAGAACCGACTCATAGGGTCGGTCGGGTTGGATCCGACCCATTGTTGAGGATAAGTCTGCAAACGTTGTACATTTATACAAAGTTGAATTTGATCCCATTATGGGTGATTCAAATTTGATTCATTTATGATTGAATTGAATATGAATCCACCCCCATTTGATCTGATATAATCCCCTTGGATTCAGTTAACTATAGATATTTATATATACTTTTAAAATCAATATTATGCCTACTAGTAAAGTTGGTTTGAATGTTTTGTTTTTAATTAGAATCATTGGTTCAAGTTTCATACAAATCATTTTTAATATATTTTGTTCATGATAGTACCAAGTCATCTTTTGATAATTTGCTTGTTTAATTTATTAATGCTATTCAATAAATAGGATATATTTCTCTGCTGGAATGGCTAGCTCTGCATGACACAGAATTTCATGTAGTTACAAATCCTTCATATCTTTGATGATGGACATTATTCATTCAGTTTACAGGTAAAAGTTTTGCCAAAGGACTATGTTAAAATTTCACTTCTAAAAAAATGAAAAAATAAAGAAACTACTCCAAAAATGCTTACAATAAATGTCAATTAAATGTTAACTACATGAATGCTATTGTCTCATGACATATTAGGGCAAGTGGCTCCCTGGTAACCCAATACTCCATCTTTTGTAAAATGAGCAGTTAAGAAAAAAATAGTAATCAAATGGACCTTTAAAACATCTCAGCTGATAACTTTTGAAACTACACCTGCACCGACTGTCCTACCTCCCTCAGAGCAAATCTTTGTCCTGTTAAGATCAATTGAAGGGAAAGAGAAGGAACTGCTTTATTTCAAACCTCACCACGTATTTTTGAAAATGCAAATAAAATGAGAAAAAATTCACTGCAACTAAAAATAAGACATGCACATTGATTGAGGACATTTGGCAGTAATGGTTCATATTTCATAATAGAAGCATCAAAAAGTTGATTATGCTAGTGATAATGATTTCAAGTGATAATCCATGGAAAAGTCAATGAAAAAGAAAATATATTACATAAAAAATTCCACAAAAAAAATTACAACACAAAACAGTTTATGCAACATGTTTGCCAAACAATATACATACATATAAAACACGGGCATTACACATATATATTGCACAAAGTGGCCTGAGGTTCATATAGGCTGGCTAGTCCAATCATTTAACTATCCACAGAAACTCAAGGGGCCCAAAAAGAGTCCCCATAGGGCCGCGAACCATATCCATTTTTCCAAATTTGTATTAAAATTTAAAAATCTGATTAGATTAAAGCAGTCAAAATTTGACTTTTAACAGTATTTTAAAAATTTGAATATGAATCTATCACAAACTGAATCAATCAAATTGGTATCTAACAACATTAATACGTATGCATTATAGTATTAGCACCTTTCTACAATGGCACAACATGCAACATGGCTATACATTTCTACATTGTCCATGTTGCAAATATGGAAACTCTGTCCTAGTAACCTTGATTTGAAGCAACAACTTACCAATAATAATTCTTGTAAACAGCCCATATAACTTTATCAATATGAATTTAGACTATAAAAAATATAAAATCATGAAGGCATATTGGAGGCATGATTCTCATAACATGAAGAAATGAAAATATAATATACTAATATTATTGTCTTAAAAAAAAGTTTTATCATGTTTAGAAGATCAGAAATATGTAAGCTTTATCT